TGCACCAAAACTCAGCGCTTTTCCCATTTTGTTGCATTTTTTTTTTAAAGGGGGAGTGGAACATGAATCAGCCGGCGTGCTTCGGGTCCCTGATCGCATCCCACATCACAAGAGCTGTTTGTTTTCAGCCCCGGGTTTGGGTATCGCTCAGGTTTCTCATCATCACCTCTGCTGCTGCCCGGGCACTGCCTCTCCTGCCCGCCCCGAACCTGGAGGAGAGGAGGGAGCATCGCCGTGTCCAGCACTTCCTATTCATCCTTACGCTGGGGGAGATACTGCTTCTGCAGCTTGTTTTATTCTGTTTTATTCGCTTTTATGTATGCGGGGAGTGTCGGCTCTCCTCCCCTGTGTTTGTCCTCCTCGCAGCTCCGCTTTGGTGCTTTTCCAAACGCCGTCAGAGAAAGGATGCGCTCTGCAGTTTGCAACAAAAAGAGCTCGTCAGGCAGCTGAGCTGAACAGGAGCGAACTAAAACAACCAGCAAAACCCGGAGAACAATCGATTCTTGTCCCACGTAGCATGGCTCGTGCTCACAGTTTAATGCGGGGCTGGAAAAGTGTCAGGTCTGCCATCAATAGGAGCCTGCATGGTCAGGGGGCGGAATGGAGACGTGTCGGGACCTGGAGCAGGGAAGGGAGGAAAAAAGTTTGAAGGAAAAGTTAAAGGCAGATTAAAAAAGCATAAAAGGTGCTGATTTGATTCCTCTCTTCACCTGAGCTTTCTTCCAAGCTATTTCGAGAGCTCTCCCCTGCCCAGAGGGGTCGCTGCTCTGATGGAATCGGTCTCGGTACCAAAAATGGTACCAAAAGGGTTGGCTCCTGCCCTGCAATTCTCTGGCTTGCCCCCCCATAAAGGATTTGCCCTGAGATCTCCTCGATCACGCGTCGTTGTGAGTATGGACAAGGGCACGTGTGCAGGGGGATGCCTGCACACGCCGTGTGCGCATCGGCTTCCAGGGACCCGTCGCACCATCTCCATGAGACCCCGGCCATCCCTGCCTCAGTTTCCCCACCTGCCAAGGGCCAGGCACTGCCTACCCTCAGGAGACACCGCGGTGACTTTCTGAGGTCCCGCTGCAGAGTTATGAGGCAGGGCTGGATCCTTTGTCAGCTCCTCTCCTTATTTATGGCTCGGGACGGAGCCTCCTTTCTCATCTCATTGGCAGAGGATCAGAACTCATCAATTCTCCGTTAGCTGCCGAGCTTTGCGTTCCTTATTTTTATTTTTTTTTGTTATTATCTGACAATGAAACATTTCAAAGGAAATACAGTTTTGGAGGCTGTTCTGGAGGTACAAGAGCCAGCCATCGGCTTGCTTAAAAAAATTAATCCTGGGCATCCGCGTGCTGGCAGCCACAACTCCCTCGCTGCCGCGCAGAGCCGGGAGCGTGGGGCACGAGGGTGGCTTTAGGTAAAGGATTCAATAGAGGCTATGGGATTGTCCAGCGCCATCAGAGGTGTTAAATGAGGGATTCGGGGATAAGCCAAGGATTATGGAAAGTGGTTCTTTAAGCACAATGTATTTTGCATTTTAAGATCTAGGCATGTTTAATAAAAAGGCAATCAGACAATCCACCGGCCTCGAGTCTTTGTCAGAGCATCGCTTCCTCTGCACAGAGCCGGGGCTTGTTTTGCAGATGATTTCCCAGGTCTGCTCTCGTACAAGCCCAAACCCCCACGGCGGTCCTGGTGTCTCCAAGGTCCAGCATGGCTCAGCTGCACCCACCCTCCGCAGGAAGGCCACCAAGGCACAACACCGAGTGTGTCCCCAAACAAAAACCCTCCAAAATCCAGCCCTCAGCCTCCGCTTTCCCAGTTATTCCCAAGCGATACAGGTCCACCTTCAATCTCTACACCAAAAAGGCAACAGATTGTTATTCTCCTTAGTTAAAATTGTGTCGATCTTGTAAGTACTTAATTAATAATCCCACATGGATGTGATGAAGAGCAGTGACAGCTGGGGGCATCTCAGCACTCCTGAGCTCCAAGGCTTGGGGCAAAGCCGCTGGGCTCCCCCTTGGAGACCAGGGGATCCCTGCAGCCCTCCCATCCTCAACAGGATTTAGGTTTTAGGGGCAAAATCACAGCAATCATCCCCCAGGTGCCACTCAGCTCTCGTGAGCATCCCCTGGGGCTCCTGGCCAGGGGCTCCCTGTGTGTGCAGAACCAAACCCACCCCCGGCCTGGCAGCATTTTGCTTTCCAGCCCCGAGCAATGTGACTGGCCCACAAACCTCTGCCAGTTGGCAGCAGTGGGTTTTAGGCAGGAAAAGGCAAAGGGGAGCCGGGAGCATCGCTCCTTCCCCTGGCCTCTGCTCTCTCTCTGCCTGTGCCTCAGGATCCGTCCCCGCTTCCCCCTCTCCCCACCCACTCCCGAAGCCCTCGCATGCAAATCTCCGTGTGCTTCTCCTAAAAAAAAAAAAAAAAAAATTGCAATTTCAGGAGATGAAGCAGTCATTAATCACCAGGAAATTGTGCTTGTTACAGGAGAAACATTAACAAAATAATCATAAATAGTCTGCCAGCCCTGATTTGCCAATGCATACGTTTCTAACGCTATAGAAAGGCATCTCATTTGGCTGCTGTAATTAGTTATTAACCCTTTGCCATGCAGTGCAGAGCTTGGGCACCTGAGCCTCCCAGTGCGCCTGCTCGTCCACGTTGCTCCATCCTAAACCCAGCAGCATCCCCCACACTGCCACCGTGCCCAAAGCCACTTGTGGGTTACTGCAGCCGTAGGAGCACCATGGCACAGTTTTTTGGCCCAAATCTCAATTTTCTCCACGGCAAAGGAAAACCCACCAACCTCCCAGCCCCTCCAGGGAAAGCCACGAGCCTCCTCAGAAAGGTGCAGCTTTTGGTGCTGTGAAAACCCCATTGTTTTATGGCTGTGCATTGAAGTGCTGGTTTAAAGGGGGCAATGGGGATGGGGACGGCTGGGCAACCAGCCCGAGGACCATCACATCCCAGTGGTATGGTTGTTTCCAGGACACAGCCGTGCTCAGGATCCCACCAGATGTGGGAAAAGCCCATTTGGGGCTCTGCCGGAGCAGGGACCAGGGGCACTGGAGATGGGGCTGTGGGTGTCCTGCCAGCTGGGGCAGGACAATGGGCCGAGAGACCCCCGCAGTCGTGCCTGACTTCACTTGCCCAGCACTCCTGCCCATCTCTTTCTGGATGCCACACTGAATTTAGGACAGTAGAAATTAATATATTGAATTAATTGCCATGTAGGGAGGTGGAGGGGATGATATTTAGGTGGGGAAATGGACAGCCAGGCTCCAGCAAGTGCTATCAAAAGCATGAAATAAAATGAGGTGGGGAAGGAAAGGGCAGCAACTTCCCACGGCCTCTCCTGGAGGCAGGAATGGGGTCACCTGCAAGAGGGGGGATACAAAACTGGGGGCTCACCTGGGGCTCCCAAGCCACCAGTGCCCTTTGTGAGCATTCGGCCAGCCCTGCAAAATGCAAAATGCAAAATGCAGCCAGTAACTCCCACGATGGAGCAACCCAGGGCTGTGGGGTGATGCGGTGCCACGAGACAGGATCTGGCTGAGCTGCTCCCATGGTGGCTTTGGCTCCTGGATGTCCCCCCGGGGGCCAGAACCAGCATCACGAGCGCCGTCGGTGCTCGTGGAGGCCACCAGCTCCGTGGGTGCGGGGTGTTTGCGGGGGTGTTTGCCGGCAGCTACCCGCTTGCACATCCCCCGGGTGTCGGAGCACGTTTACACCCGCTGCTGTTACAAACAACACCTCCAGCTCCGAACGGAAGAAGTTGGCGAGAAAAAGTTATTTTTCTCTCCGCTCCCCTCGCCTGTTTAGCAGAGCCTTCGGCAACGGTTGGCGGAGCTGAGCCCTGCCGCTCCCCTCCAGAAGCTGCTTTTTGTACAAATCTTACACCAAAACAGGCAGAAAAATCTCGTCAGCACCCCCGACCAGGCGCCTTCTCTAAAACCGGTCCTTTTCTTCATCTTGCACTTTCAGCTCACGTGAAATCACACACACACAACTGTTATTTTCCAGGTTGCTTTTATTATTATTATTATTATTACTAAAACGACCTTGAAGCATCAGGCAAGTTGATGCCAGTCTTTCAGGTCAGATTTTGGCACAGCCTGCTGCTTTGGGTGCAGGCTGCAGCCCCGTGCCCAGTATGGGTACGGCGTGCAGCACTGGTGCCCAGCACAAGGCTCCCCACGAGGCTGACACCCACCTGGATTTCTGCTTTTTGGAGCATTTCCCACTTGGCTGTTGTGTTTTTAACCAACCACATGCTCTGGGTGCTCTGGTCGCAGCCAGTGTGGGACCATGGGCAAGCAGCGATGCTCTTGCACTGGTGATGGTGTTAACGAAGGGACGTGCTAATTGCACGGGGATAAGGAGGGTGATGAGCAGAGCAGGAGCTCGGCTTTGCACAGGGCTCACTCGTGGAGCTGCTGCCCCCTTGGAGCAGCCAAATCCAGGCACAAAAGAAGAAATAATTTTTAAAAACCTCTGCTCGCTGTGCCGCGAGGGGCCCCTCGGTGGAAGAGCACCTCGGCTTCCTCCTCCCCCCGGTGTGACCGGCTGTGATTAGAGGAATAAACGAGGCAAATTCTGCAAAACACCGAAATCGATCCCTGCTCCGAGCTTTCTCCTCGCGCTGCTTTAAGCAACCGAACCATGCACGGAGCCGGCACGGCCGGGAGGCGGCTCCAAAGGATGCTATGGCACGGCTCGGCTCGGCTCGGCACGGAAAGGCACGGAAAATCAAGGCAAGGCACGGCACAGCAAGGAAAGGCACGGCACGGCTCGGCACGGGTCAGCATGGCACGGAAAGGCAAAGAAAAGCATGGCACGGCATGGCACGGCACGGCGCGGCATGGCGCGGCATGGCACGGCATGGCATGGCATGGCATGGCATGGCACGGCTCAGCACGGCTCAGCACGGCTCGGCACGGCTCGGGGCCGCCTTAAGAGCAGGCGGAGGCGGTGCCGACCCTCTGAGAGGCGGTGCTGCCCCCGTGACGCTGCTGCCGGCCGCGCCGTGCCGAGCCGTGCCAGAGCCGTGCCCGAACCGTGCCCAGCCGTGCTTGGACCGCACCGTGCCCGGACCTTGCCCAGCCGTGCCGTGCCGTGCCAGATCCGAGCCGAGCCGAGCCTGAGCAGTGCCGGATCGGGGCCGTGCCGGGATGCAGCGAGCGGCAGCGCGGGCGCTGCGCGGGGCTCGGGTCCCCCCCGTGCGGGCGCGCTCGGCCTCGACCGGGCCCCCCCCGCGGGGGCTGCTCTACGAGCGGCACGGGGACCCCGCGGGGGTGCTGCAGTAAGGGGGGCACGGGGGGTGGGGGGAGAGGGGGTGGGGGGGTGAGAATGGGGGTGCAAGTGGGGGGGGTGCAGGTATCGGGGGTGCATTGCAGGAGGTGGGGTATGGGGGATGCACATATGGGGGGTGCAGGTATTGGGGTGCATTTTGGGGGGTGCACATATCGGGGGTGCGTTGCAGGAGGTGGGGTTATGGGGGAGTGGAAGTGGGGGTGCATTTTGGGGGGGTGCAGGTATCAGGGGTACATTGCAGCGGGTGCATTGCAGGAGATGGGGTGTAGGGGGGAGTGCAAATGGGGGTGCAGGTACTGGGGGTGCATTTTGGGAGGGGTGCAGATATTGGGAGTGCGTTGCAGGAGGTGGGATTATGGGGGAGTGCGAATGGGAGTGCATTGCAGGAGGTGCAGATAAGTTGTGGGGATGCATTGCAAGGGGGTGCGGGTATAGAGGGGTGCAAATCAGGGGGGTCAGGCTGGGGGTGCATTGAGCTTGTGGGGGCAGGTGTAGGGGCGAGGTGGAGCTGTATGGCAGTGGGGGGGCAGTAAGCGGGGGCATGCATATGGGGTATGTATGGAGAGGGTTGTAGTGGGGCTGTCTGGGGGTGCGCAGTGTGTGGGGGTCCTGGGCTGCCCACCCCCAGGGCAGTTGGCAGGGATGGGTGCAGGTCCCTGGGGGGGACCCAGGCCATGGGGTCATGCCAGGGGTTGCTCAGAGGTCCCCAGCATGCAGGCAGAGCTTGGGGTGCACCCCCAACCCCTTTCACCCATATTTCCACAAGGTGGGGGGGTCTCCAGTGCTTCCAGGGGAGTCTGTTCTCACAGAATTTGGGGTCAGTGGGGAGGTGCTGAGAGGCAGCACCACTGAACCCCACTTTGTCCCCAGTTTAGGGTTATTCAGGGCCAGGAACAAAAACAGGGCCCGAATCAGTGTTGCTTCCTCAAGTATAACACTGCGGGGTGACATCCAGGGCATGGCGGCTATTCAAGGTTCTCCTAAAACGGCCAAAAAGTCTGGGAAAAGGGAAATTTTTGTACCTTTTTTTTTCAAGAGAGGAAATGCTGAGGATGCGCTGACCCAGCGGAACTGGCTGGAGTCACATAGAAACACAGGAGGTGCAGATACGTTATCTGAGTGCACCCAGACCCCGAGCCCCTGTTTTGGGGGTGAGATGGGTGGCTGCTCTGTCTTTGGACCACTCAGTTGGGTACCGGTGCTTATCGGCACTGGTGGCTGCTGAGATTTGCAGGGACGCAGTGGGGACATGGGACAGGAACAGCTGTCCTCGTCCCGCTGCTTGTGCAAGACCCAGCTCGTGCTGGGTGACTTCTCTTTCTGTCTTTTTTTTTGCAGATTTTTGGAAATGCCCTTGTGGGTGTGACTTCCCCTAATGCTCTGGCAGGGTGGGATGAGCCCGAAATGAGTCAGTGGCTTCCTTGTGCAATGTTGATGCTTTCCTGTGGAGCGTTGGGTGGTTGGGTTCTGCAGCCTTGGTCAAAAATCTTGCTGTGTTTTTTCTTTAATTATAAAACTGATTTTTCCATGAAAACCCAAGTAGCAGGTTGGTGCTGGGCTGTCTGTGGTGCTGGTCCTGTGTGGAGGCTTTTTGCCCAGATGTTAAACACGCGAGCAGCTCCATCACTCGTGGGCGACCCTTGCCAAAACGCAAGGTTTTGGGCAAAAGCCACAGGTCAGCACGCGTGGCCATGCCCAGCAGCTGCAGAGCTGTACCCTACAGGTCTCTGATCCCAAACTGCTTGAAGTGAGGTTTTCGGACCCTCCTGGGAGCTTCCCACAGGCTGTCAGTGCAGTCTGGGGTTTGTTTCAAAGCAAAAAGCAGATTCCTGCGTGCTAAAAGCCTTCTGACAAGGGCAGGGGGGTGTTTAATCCAGAACTCCAAGTCTCCAAATCACCCAGGCAGCTTCAAGGAGAGAAGGGGAAAACACTTTGCCAGCACAGGACAAGCTGTGAAGGAAATTCAGTGTATTGTTCCTAATGACACGTACTTAGCAGCATGTAATTGTGGCAAATAACTGCTCTTAAAATTGGCAGGGTCTGCGCCACCTCCTTCGCAGAGCCACCAGCTCGTTCAAATGCAGTTCAAATTGCCCTCATCTTGCAAATGGGCGCCTCTGGATGGCTTTGCCCCAGCTGGCAGATAGGTCAGGCAGCAATCAGCTTCCCCTTCCCCTTGGGGCGTGTCGTGGTGCAAGCTGGAGGAGCTTGCTCCATCCCTGGGTGGTGGGACCCCTCCTCTCTGCTCCGCATCCTCTTTGCTGGGAGGACCCCACTGCCAGGAAGGTGCAAGACCCACGGCGGCCAAAAAATGTTGTGCAATTTTCCCCGTGGCCATGTACAGCATGAGGGAGCTGAGCTGAACGGTTTAGTGATGGGAGGATTTAGTGATGAGGGGCTTGGCTTAGTGATGGGACCCCGTAGGTCAGGTTGAGGTAGGACTTGATGGTCTTGAAGGTCTGCTCCAGCCTAGGTGGGTCTGTGCTTCCAAGTCAGCCAGCCTTGGGGTATGGGCATTCTCCTTGGATTTCAGTCTGGTAGCAAAGGGGCTGGGATGTCTTCTCCTCAGAGGGGCCCTTCTCTATGCGGGATGTGTTTTGGGTTTGTTCCTATGATTGATGAAAGGAGGTGCTGGGAGTGGCGGTTTGAGGAGCAGTGGAGGTGCCACGTTAGGTCCTTATTTTTTCCTGCTAGAGGAGATGAGGCTGTAGCAACATAGACGGGGAAAATGGTGCTGATGTGTTGTGTAGGTCATACAGGAATCTCTCCTCAGTGCCTTAACTGAGTCTTCCTCTGCCTGACCCCACACAGGCTGAAGGAGCTGGAGGTGCCCAGGCTGGGGCACTCGGACGTCCACGTCAAGATGCTGGCGGCCCCCATCAATCCGGCCGACATCAACATGATCCAAGGTAACCTGCCCGCTGCCAGCGCTGCCTTTGAACCCTTGCCCTGCCTCTCTGCATCTCCCCACACTCCCCGCAGGCACCTACGCCATCCTGGCCCCGCTGCCGGCCGTGGCGGGGAACGAAGGCGTTGGGCGCGTGCTGGAGGTCGGCCCCGGCGTGACGGCGCTGAGACCCGGGGACTGGGTCATCCCGGCTGATGCTGGACTCGGTGAGTTTGTACCCGGGGCTGGGTGCTTGGCATGGCCTCCCAGGGGGGTTTGGGACCGGGACTGTGCCCCCAGCGCCTGGCTCCTGTGCATGGGACACGCTCGGCCACGAGGAATCCTAAAATCATTAAGGTTGGAAAAGCCCTCCAAGAACATCAGGTCCAACCATCCGCCCCCCACCACTATCCCCCATTAAACCATGTCCCCAAGCACCCCAAGGAAGCGCTCACCCAGGGAGCTTTGGCAGTGCCGTTGCATATGCCAAGCTTTAATTTAGGAATAATTTACTTTTCTATAGTGCAGACCCTTTATGGGCCTTCTGCACTGTTATAGAGCGTCGCGGCAATCTGTTCTCCTCTGGAAACAACTGCGTTTTGTCACATCTACTTACAGCTTCTTTAAAGACATGGGATAAAGCATTTAACCTGTGCAAGGTCAGAGTTATATCTCATTACGGTTTTCTCCCTAATAGTGCTCTGATGGGAAAGCTTGGGAATTTATTTTCCAACAAATGCCTCTCGTGCTACTCCGACACGCCAATGGCCAGAAAAATTGTCGGTTCTGGTTTAGCTTAACAGCTTGTTCCTTGCCTATTTCTTCTTAAAAGGCTTTCTCGCTTAATGGGAGAAGGAAAGTTATCTAGTTAAGATCCAAATGTGATATTTTTAAACATTAAAAAAAAAAATAAATGGATGATAGGGGGTTAAATCAGATATAAATACATAGTCACTAAATCTGAGTGAATTGGCTCGGAATGTATGGGCTCATCTCTGGGATGTGGAGTGCTTCTGTTAGCTCTGCACACTGCATCCAGCCCGGTCCCATTACACGTCTGGGAAGTGATGGGGCTGCTCTGGGTGACAAAGCCGCTGTCTGTGGGCAGCAGGGGAGCATCTCCTGCCTCCACCGGGGTCCTGCTGAGGCGCAGGGCAGTGCGTGCCACGAGAGGGCTCGTTTTGCCCTGGAAGCTCAAGGCGCAGCATCGCAGTCTTTCAGCGCGTGTACGGATGGGGGGAATCTCTTACCCTGGGGTTTTGGGCACGCGTCACACAAAGTGGTGGGTAGAGTCCTGACTTTAAGCTCCCTGGTGCACAAGGTCTTGGCAAACATGCTGATGGCTCAGCCATGGGAGATTTGCAAAACTGCCCTTAAATATATGTAGGGAATGAGTGCCCGGGGTGCTCACGTCTCTTCCTCACTGACTTGTGAAGAAAAGTGCAGTGCAAACGGAGCACAGCCTTACCTCCAGCCTGCAAATTGTTTCAGGCACTGCCAGCTTTCTCTTCCTTCGCCTATCTAAATATTTTGGCTATACCCATACGGGAAAAGGTTTAATAATTGGCTCTCCGATGCTTAAATCGTGTGTCGCGAGGTGATGCTGCAGCAGCGTGAGTTAAAGCTCTGGTGTGAGTTGGGGTCTCCTAACCCTTTCCTTTCCTTTCCTTTCCTTTCCTTTCCTTTCCTTTCCTTTCCTTTCCTTTCCTTTCCTTTCCTTTCCTTTCCTTTCCTTTCCTTCCTTTCCTTTCCTTCCTTTCCTTTCCTTTCCTTTCCTTTCCTTTCCTTTCCTTTCCTTTCCTTTCCTTTCCTTTCCTTTCCTTCCTTTCCTTCCTTTCCTTTCCTTTCCTTTCCTTTCCCACAAAATGCTGCGATGCCCAGGGACGTGGCGGACGCAGGCAGTGTTCCCCGAGGCGAGCCTGCTGCAGGTGCCCAGCGACATCCCGCTGCTGTGCGCCGCCACGCTCAGTGTCAACCCGTGCACGGCGTACCGCATGCTGGCCGACTTCGAGAGCCTGGCGCCAGGTATGTTGCACACACAGGCCTCCGGCTCTGCGTTCGTAGGGGATTGCAGCTCCAGCGGTCACGGCTGCACCGAAATTCTGCTCCCCAGGTGACTCCATCATCCAGAACGCAGCCAACAGCGGCGTGGGCCAGGCTGTCATCCAGATCGCCAAAGCCACCGGCATCAGGACCATCAATGTGGTCAGGGATAGGTGAGTACTGGGCACAAACTGGGACACGGGAGGTTCCCTCTGAACATCACAAGCCCGTCTGTGCTGTGTGGGTGCCAGATCTCTGGCACAGGTTACCCAGAGAAGCATCTCCTCCTTGGAGATCTCCAAAAAGCACCTGGACGTGGTGCTGGGCACCCTGCTTGGGGTTGTTCTGCTGGAGCAGGGGTGGGAGCAGGGGACCCAGAGGTCTCTTCCCACCTCAGCCATTCCATGGTCCTGTGAAGGTGCTTCCCAGCCTCTGCTCTGCCCAGCCTCATCCTCAGACCCATCCCAGTAGGAGGAAGGGGAAGGGGACACGCTGCTTGCTGCCTCATGGGGTCTTTTTTCTCCCCCCAGACCTGATCTCCCGAAGCTGGTGGAGAGGCTGAAGGCCCTGGGTGCAGACCACGTCATCACGGAGGACATGCTGAGAAAGCCAGAAATGAAAGAAATATTTAAGGTACCTCGATGTTGAGCCCCCCTGAGAGACTGTCCAGGGCAGCCCCGCAGTTCAGTGCTTCGAGGAGAGCTGTGAGGATGGTAGAAGGGACAAACATGAAACAAGCTTTTCCTAATCTCTGGGCAGGCGATGTGATGGCCACACTGTAAATCGTTAGGAAGAGATACAAAGCTAACAAATGGCATTCTTGCACTTCTCTAAGCCACTCACTATTTACCTCGTGTATTTACCCATCCATTTATACAAACATGCCCTGAACTAGCCAAACTCCTAGCCCCAAAGTGCTTTTCACAAAGTATTTCCATACCAGCGACAGACTGAGATGTGCTCCCCACCACGGAGGGCTTTCACGCAAGCTCTCCAGACCAGGGCTGAGCCCTTCAGGCTGGAGCTTCCTCTTTTTCTTGCAGAGCATCCCAAAGCCTCGGCTCGCCCTGAACTGCGTCGGAGGCAAGAGCACGACGGAGATGCTGCGGCATCTGCAGTAAGTTGGGCTCTGCCCCATGGCTGGGGTGGCGTGGGCTTGGGACCTGCTCCAGATCCAGGGCACATGGCCACCAGGGACATCAAGAACAGATGCCAGCCCTTGATGAGGGGAAATGAGTGAAGTTGTTTTGGAAAACAGGAGTTAAAGTTAACCTGGCATCACCATCCTCTTGCTTGTCTCAAACTCTGCCCGTGGCATGAGGCAGGAGACATCTGAGACAGAGGTCTGTCTGGTCCTGGCCACATGTGATGGCTGGCTGGTTTATGTAGCTGCAAATCCAATGTGCGAGCAGGAGGGCAGCTCTAGAAAACAGATCCTCAGGGCTTTCTGGAGGAGCCTGTGGTGTGAGACCAGCCTCATCGTACAGCGGTGGGTTTGGGTGCGATGGAGGAGAGGTTGCAAGGCCAAAGCTGCGTGCTGGGGGCTGTGGGTAACCCAACGCCCCCTTCCTCTTGCAGACCCAAAGGGACCATGGTCACCTACGGGGGCATGGCAAAGCAGCCCGTGACAGTTCCAGTGGTGAGTACTGGGGATGCTCTTGGTGCCCACGGGGGCTCAGCTTATCCTCTGCTGCACTCTGCTGTCTGGATACCACGTTCAGAGCCCCCAAATTTATTTATTTTTTAACTGATTGGGGCTGTAATGGGACGAGCTGGTTTGCATTCCGGTATGGTTGTGCTTATGGAGGGTTTGGGCTGCTCTGGAATGCCAGCATGGAAACAACCCCACAGATGCTGAGCATTGAACATGCCCTGATGCAAACCTATCTCACACATCCGAGCCACATCTGAGCTCTGCCCTGACGTGAAACTCGGTGTTATCCCAACAAGACGCAGCCCCTCGGAGCTGCTCAGTGCTGTGGTGCAAGGTCTTGCGTTAACATGAACCTGCCAAATTGGGTTTGTCCCAAAGGAGAGCTCTGAGCAAAGCTCCTCGCTGCCTCCTGCCATGCTCACATGGGCTTGGGAACAGGTCGGGGGGAGGCAGATCTCACCTCCTGCTTTCTGCAGAGCGCCTTCATCTTCAGGGACGTGAGGCTGCGCGGCTTCTGGATGACCCAGTGGAAGAAGGACCACGCACATGGTGAGCTGAGAGGGGCAGGGACCACGACAGGCTACCAGAGGTGGCCAGCAGGGCTGGGGACAACTTCCCATGGGACGTGGCCGGGTAAGAGCAATCCCCTTCTTCCCTTGCAGACAAGGAGAGCCTGAGCAGCATGATGGACACCTTGTGCCAGCTGGTGCAGAGGGGACAGCTCGGCGCACCCGCCTGCACCACAGTCCCACTGGAGGACTTCAAGGAGGCCCTGGTGGCCTCCACGCAGCCCTTCACCTCCTCCAAGCAGGTCCTCCTCCTCTGACTGCTCGCAGGCCTTCCTGTTGGTGTCTGCAGAGGGAAAGCTCCACGTCCACTGATTTTTTTCTTTTGTTCCTTTTTTTATTTTTGGGTGCCCACTTCAAGGTTTAAAAGCCTCTGGAAGTTTACCCAGGTGGCACCGTGAGCGCAGGCGGGGGTTGCTTCTGGAAGGAGATTTTGATCTCGCTTTAGCTCGTTGTTAGTTTTGTTGCAGCAGAAAGCCTCTCCTGGGCCTATCTCAAGGGAAAGGAGCCTCTCTCTTTGCAGATGGACTTACACAGCAAAACCACTTTTTAAAAATATGTATTTTATTTTTTTATTTTTTTCCCTACACAGCACATGCAGTGCTGGCAGGACTAGGGGAGCACCCATGCCGGCTGGAGGACAAGGGGACAATGTAGGGACAGGATTCGGGTCCCCATCCCTGCGTTCACCCCGCAGCTCACCAGCCGGAGCCTCCAATGTGACTTCTGCAATACCTGGACTTGAATTCAGTTTTGCTGCTCTTACTGAACCAGTGCCACTACTGATCGTGCGATGCACAGAGAAACCTCTTGAAAATCGATGTCTAATATATGTCTATTTTTGCAAGATGCTGCCAATAAACTTTTGTGTGCTCAAAGCATCGCGTGTCCCTTCTGCTTCCCGCATTGCCCCAGCAGCTCCTGCCTGTCCCAGTGCTTTCACCAGGCTCTGGCGGGGACTGAGGACTGTGCTGGAGCCAGCTGCTTGCACAAATGCAAACCCTGGGAGAGGGAAAAACTCGCCTTTGCAGCTGGTTTCTTCTTTAGAATCGTGGAATCCCAGAATCATTAAGGTTGGAAAGGACCTCAAAGATTATCTGGTCCAACCACCCCCTACCACCACCACCCCCTGACCCTGTCCCCCAGCACCACGTCCAACCTCTCCCTGAACGCCCCCAGGGACGGGGACTCCACCACCTCCCTGGGCAACCCGTCCCAACGCCTGAGCGCTCTTGCTGAGGAGAAATGTCTCCTCATTGCCAGCCTGAACCTCCCCTGGCACAACTCGAGGCCGTTCCCTCTGCTCCTGGCACAGTTCCCTGTGAGCAGAGGCCGACCCCAGCTCCCCACCCCTTCCTTCCAGGCAGTTGCAGAGAGCAATGAGGTCTCCCTGAGCCTCCTCTGCTCCAGCCCAAACACCCCCAGTGCCCTCAGCTGCCCCTCACAGGACTTGTGCTCCAGGCCCTTCACCAGCCTTGCAGCCCTTCTCTGGACACGCTCCAGGGCCTCGATGTCCTTGTAGTGAGGGGCCCAAAGCTGAACCCAGCACTCGAGGTGCAGCCTCACCAGAGCAGATACAGGGGGACGATCACCTCCCTGGCCCTGCTGGCTGCACTATTCCTGCCACGAGCCAGGACACCCTCCTGCTGCAGGAGGAGGAAAGCTGGGCTGGCTGCATGGAGGCCATTCACACCCTGCTAAACCCTGCTGTAGGATCACATTTTGGGGCAATGTATGGAGACAGGGATGGCTCTGCCCTGTTAGCACCGAAAACCCCTGAAAGCAGCCATTGTCACCCCAAATCTACATCCTGTGACAGAATATACTTTTACATGTATTCCCTGTTATTGAGGTGAGGAGCCAGTTCCAGCCACACTGACAGAAGAGCTGACCCCACAGACATGCCATAAAGCCCTGTGAGCCCCAATTCAGAACGGGGAGCTGCTTGTGTGCAAGTGGGGTTTGGCCCCAAGCAGACACCAGAGAATCCACGTGGGAGCCCTTGTCCAGCTGGGGGAGCTTCGCTGCAGGCTGTGGTGGTGAGAACCCGGGAGAACAAAGAGGGGAAAGGCCCCAAATGTGAAATGAGGTATTTGGGTCCCGCTGGGAACTCCCCAAATTCATTGCATGGAGGGTCAGCTGCTTGCTGAGCCCCCAGGCCTGCTGCCCATGCAGGGGGTGCCGGGGGCACACCTGCACTTGGAGCAGGATCCTCACACCAAGCAGCATCCCACAGAACTGTTACAGTGCCCATCTCACATTTTGGGGGGCAAAAGTGTGCCTTTTGGGGTTTTTCAGTCGGGGGGGGGGGAAGGGGAAGGAGTCAGTGAGGTTCTCAGCATTTAATTAATCGATGGTTGTGATTGGGGGGGGGTCTCATAGGACCTCACAGGGGTCTTCATAGGAGTCCTTATAGGGGGTCTTCATAGGGGTTCCTCATAGGGGACCTCATAGAGGGTCTTCATAGGGGATCTTCACAGGACCTCATAGCGGACCCTTATAGGAGATCCTCAAAGGGAATCTTCATAGGGGACCTCATAGGGGGTCCTCATAGAAGATCTTCATAAGACCTCACAGGGGGTCTCGTAGGGGATCTTCATAGGGGCCCTCATAGGATGTCATAGCGGACCTCATAGGGGGTTCTCATCGGGGTCTTCATAGGCAGTCCTCATAGAAGTCCCTTGTAGGGGTCACTTGTAGGGGTCTTCATATGGGATCCTAATAGGGAATCCTCATAGGGAATCTTCATAGGGGACCTCATAGGGGGTCCTCAAAGAGGGTCTTCATAGGACCTCATAGGGGATCCTCTTAGTAGCCCTCATAGGACCTCATCGCGGACCTCATAGGGGGTTCTCATAGGGGTCCTCATCAGGGACCTTATGTGGTGACTTCACATGACACAACACAGGGACCCACACAGGACCTCAAAACGGGGCGGGAACCCTCACAGGGTGCCCCCATCCTACCCCCACCTTCAAAATATGTCCCCCACAACCCCCCTTAACCCCCCCCCCCCGCCATTACCCCTTTAAGCCCCAAGCCCTACGCGTAGGCGGGGCCTCACAGACGTCCCCCCCGCGTCCCCTCCCGGCGCCATGACGCCGCGCCCCGCCCCTCACCCGCTATTCCCCCCCTCCCCTCCTCCTCCTCCTCCTCCTCCTCCTTCATCCCGCCCCCCCCCGGGCGCGATGCCGCGGGTGTACATCGGCCGCCTGAGCTACCAGGCGCGGGAGCGGGACGTGGAGCGCTTCTTCAAGGGCTACGGCAAGATCCTGGAGGTGGACCTCAAGAACGGGTGCGTGGAGCCGGCCCCGCCCGGCCCCTGCGCGGCCATGAGGGGAGGGAGGGCGGGGGCCGGGCCCCGCTGCCCTGGGGTGGTATAGGGGGGGTATGGGGGGGGGGAGCGCCCCGTGAGGGGGGTTTTGGGGTCGGGGAGGGACATGGGGAGGGGTGAGGGGGTTGTTATGGTAACAAGGGGGTGTTAGGAGGGGGGGTTGAGGGGTTTTAGGGGGGGTTAGGAGGGTTTGGGGGAAGGGGGGGTGGGTTTCCATGGTAATAGGGGGTCAGGGTGGCTCCGGGGGTTGTGAGGGGGATTTTGGGGGGAATTTTTGGGGAAAAGGTGGCGGATTCTGTGGTAATGGGGGGGGGTCAGGAAGTCTTTGGGGGGATTTGAGGGTTGTTTTCTTCTTCTTGGGGGGGAGGCTGGGTTTCCATGGTAATTTGGGGGGGTCAGGGTGCTTCAGGGGAGGTTTTGGGGGTTTTGAGGGGTTTTAGGGGTTTGGGAGGGGGATGGGTGGTTAGGTTTTTATGGTAATGGGGGGTCAGGAGGTATCTAGGAGGGGTTAGGGGTTTTGGGGTGGTTTTTGGGGGGGTGGTGGGAAGGGGTGAGTGGGTTCCTATGGTAATAGGGGGGTCAGGGTGTCCCTGGGGTGTGTGGGGTTTGGGGGAAGGGGTGACAGGGTTGCTGTGGTAATTGGGGTGTCAGGGTGCCAGGGCCCACTCTGAGGAGGGGGTTTTTGGGGGAGGTGTCGGGGTTTCAATGTTAATTGGGGGGTCAGGGTGCCTCTGTCCCCTCTGGGGGGGGGGGGGGGAGAAGGGTGCCTGGGCCTGTGTGCAATGGGTGGCCTGTGGGGTAATTGGGGGTGTGATGGGGGCAATGGGGGTGTCAGGGTGCCTGTGCGCTGTTTGGGGCCCTGTTTTTAGGGGATGGGCCCCCATGGCCCTCCCCTGTGCCCTGAGGGAGGGGTTCCTCTTAGGGCATGAGCCCAGCTGTGAAATCCCCTTGGCAGCACCTGCGGCCCTGGTGGGGGGCACAGCCCAGAGCCCCCTGCGTGCAGCTGCCGGGGTCTGCACCCAAACAGCCGCTTCCTCCTGAGCACCCATGGGTGCCCGGCTCATGGGGATGAGGGGGGGGGAAACGGGGAGCAGCAACTGGTGTGGGCGGCCTTCCCCTGGCATCGTGCTCGGTTCGTAACGTGTGCTGCTCTAGTCAGGACACCTGGCTGCATCTAGAGCTCTTGGATCCTGCTCCACCAGGACTTGCCTGAGACATTCAAGTATGGATTTTCAAGAGAAAAACAAATTATTTCCATTTCCCCCTCCCCGTTCCCCTGTTTTCCCAATATCTAAAGCCGCCGGCCTAATGAGCGCTGGCATCTTTACAAGAAACCCAACTTGAAGTCTTGTTTAGGAAAACTGAGTGGAATATGGATTTTATTCTTATTAGCCAAGAGAGGCGATTATTATTTTTGCTTTAGAAGTGGAGAAGAGGAATCTCTTGTAAAAGTTAGTCCTGGAGCACAAAAAAAGGCTCATTAAGGCTCATTAAGCTTTTTGTACTGGTTTTACTGGTAGGTGGACATAATAACAGGTTTACAAGATGAATAAAAGCCAGTGTTCAAACAAACAAGCGTGCACGTGTCAGTGTTTTGACCAACCCAGCTTCAGGTGGTATTGTAGATTGGCCGTAAAATCTGGAAAACAAAGTGCTCGAATATTTCAGTTCTGCTGTGCATCCTTGAAGGTGCAGGGGGAGTTGGTTTTCCTCTTGCTCTATAAAACCTTTAAAGGAAATGTTTCTTTTTCAGGCAGATGTCAGAGGAAAAAAGACTTTAATAACAGCCATAGAACAGCTAGATTACGTGTCTGATGCAGTTAATGGGTTTGTCTTCTTGCTTTATTGAGAAATACCTATCAAGGCCCAGCCCTGAAATCCCAGCTGAATACTTGGAAATAGGCTGGGGGGATGCAGCGTGGGGGCCAGAGCTGATTTGTGCGTGAGCTTCAGCAGCCAAAGCTTGAAAGGTCAGACTTGTGGCATCCTGAGCGTGAGTTGTAATAGGTGCTTTGGGGTGGAGAGGGGGAAGGAGGGCACAGCCCTAAAATATCCTGAATGTGATGCCAAAGTGACTTTGGCTCTGGAGCGATGTGTAAGTTCACTTGGGGGAGACAGAGTTCAAAAGTTGCAGGTGGAGGGATGCAGGAACTACTAGTGGCTTGTATTCAAATGCCAGTTTGACAGCATTTACTCAAACTATCAGATTTTACGTCCTTCTGCTTGGGTCAGTCTCACGCTGTGCTTTTGCCAGGTTACTCTACCGTTGGCTTTGTTTGCCCTCTGATCCTTTCTCCTCAGCTTATTTTTAGCAGTGCTTAGCAAATGATTAGGAATGACTTCACAGTGTTTAACTTAAAGAGTCTTCCAGTTTCTTCTGAAAACTTGTGGGCTATCTTCAGTGCTCAGCCTGCAGGAGATTAGCCTTGCAGTATTTTAGCAGTTAAGCTGAAATGCTTGAGCAAGGAGATGAAACTGGAATGTGATGCGGTGGAGTCCTAAAAGCTTAGCTGGGTCTCGGTTGCTGCTAATTGTAATTTAAGCTTG